CAGGATATCATTTAATTTGAATAAAAGCAAAGAACTACACTCATAATTAACTGCATAAACATGAAAAGGGGAGTGACTCACAGCAGGAGCTGCTGCTAGAGCAGATCACAAACTGCTCTGAAAAAGGCAGGAATAGATAAGAGCAAAATTTGCAAGACACTTGAAGCAATCTTCTCATACTCCTTGATGAAAATATACCAGAGGCAGACACTGTCCATTTTCAGTACTGCATCTTAAGAAAATAAGGATGACTGAACAGAGCATAAGGGGAAAGCAGGAAGAACATAAGGCTATAACACATAATGGGAGACTGAAATAACTCAAATTACTTGATCTAGGGAGGGGAAAAAAAAGGAGCGGTTACACAATCTTCAAATACAGAGAACACTGAAAGAAAAGCACAAACTGCCTTGTCCACTAAAGATCAGAATAAAAGGACTGGCAGGAGGATTAAGGTAAGAGAACCAACAAAAAAAAAAGTTTCAGATTTCTACGCATCAGACAAGCATTTGTCAGATATGACTTAAGAACAGTCAATCTTGTCTTGAAGCACAGGAATTTTTGAGTATTGCTCAGCATTTTACTTCATCCATGTTAAGAAGTTGCCTCTGGGACAAGACTGAAGCTCAGTAAAATCAACCCATGAAGCATTGTTATGGTTAAACATGAAGTGTGCGCTTTGGGGTTTCAGCAAGGCAATAAAATTTACACTTGCCCAGCAGGAGGACACAGTAATGGGTTCAAAATATTAGAGACATTTGCCTCAATAGCATTAAATAGCCTAACTGATATAAACTGCAAGTAGGTGACAAAAGCTGATTATTTATGTTCTCTGAAGTCCTCCTAAGAGCCTGATAAGTAAGATTCACAGCTACCAGGTAACTGATGCCACTGTTGTCACCTACACAAGGGATGGAACCCAGAAATGTACCTACAGCAGATAGTTTTCCACCAACTGAAAGAGTGACTTACTGGCTACAAGGATACCCAGACTAATTCCATTTTGCCCAATTATAGAAACAGTCTCACTAAGTCTTACAGACAGTTCACAGACACTAACCTAAAAAATTAACAATTACAGAGTATTTAAACATAGACCTAAGCTAGGTGATGAAAAACTCTCCAATTCCTCTCCCCACAAAATTTAAAAGCTAATTCTGATGAGTTCCAACACAATTTCCTCTCTCCTGTGCCTGCTGTAACTATTCTCACAAGCTTCTGCCCACTTCTAATCTCCTAACAAGTGAAACTGTATTACTTCTGTCTGACACAGGTATACCGGGAAGCTGAAAGGAGTTCATTTTCAACTCTACAATGGTGAAAACTAAGTAAATTACTTGAGAGATGCAGACTCTCCAGGCAGACTTAGGAAGACTCCAACAGTTTTGACCTTGCCAACAGAATTTACTGTAGAATCTACCTCTTACCACAGAACCCGATGACTTGAAAATACGCATTACTTGAAATCAAAAAAAGTCATCTGCCACAGAACAGGAGGTAGAAGATTATTGAGTAGTACTGAAAGAATCAATTTGAGAAATAAAAACTCTGATGAAATATAATAGTTTCCATTTCAGGCTTAGCTCATCCCTCCTTTCTACTTTTTTAATATACTTTTTTACATCTTTTTAAATACTTATGTTTGTCAGACTGACTACGTGTGCTACACACAATGAGTTCTCAGAAACAACCAAAAAACCTTATTCCAGTGTTTTAGTTAAAGTTAGCAAAGCAATACCCAAATTTCTTAAGGCTAAAGAAGTCGAGATAGACACTCAAAGCAGATTTGTGGGGGAGACTGAATAGCCAGCTGTCTGTCTCAAAGCTTGCTCCTTTGTGTGGCGAGAAGATCAGCACTGCCGCAGGCAAGGTGGCTTGTGGGCTGGCTGAAGCAGTGGCCACCCAGGCGGGGCCACCTGCCCACCAAGGCTTGCAGTTGAGCCCTGCCCAGCAACAAGAAAGGGCACGAACGGAGCCCACCAAAAGGAAAGTGTGCGAAACATGTGCGCGTGTACTGGGCTGTGCTCTATAAAAAAGGCTGCAGCCTGAGACTGCAGGGGGACCTGGTGGGAGACCATCAAGGACGCCAGAGGAAGATCACCGACCTCGTGAAGAGACCACCGAAGATTCTGTGTGCAATCACCCCAGAAGCACAGAAACCCCCCTGGGACACCGTGGACCCATGGTGGTGACTGTCTGCTCTCTTCTATCTGGACCTCTCGCTTTATTTCTTATCTTTCCTTCCTTCCTTCCCTGTCACTGCTTTCTCTCTTTCCCCCGAACAATCAATAAATGGGTGGACTTACGACAGCTGACCTCGTTTGTGTCTTCATCTCACTCGAAGGGATCGAACCTGAAACAAGAGGTTGGTCCAGCCACCCCTGGCCTCCCAGACTCGTCTGAGGTCAGCTAGAAAGCAAGGGGGCCTTCCTCTCGTCCAAACAGAATTGGATCCTAACAGTTTGATAAAACTAAGTTCCCACTTGGACATCAGAAAACAGCTCACCTCTCAGCTGAGACTACACAACCGCTAGACATTGCTCAGGCAGCTCATGACAACAGGGAACATAGCGGCACAGAGCTTTTGCAATGTAGGAATAGAAAACTACATTTTAAATTTAAATTGAAGTATACTGCAACAGCATATTAGAATCCCTTTAAAAGATTAACAAACAACTCAACGAGACAGAAGAATATTATCGATCCGCACAAAACGCAACAAGTTATGCATTTAGTACCTTTATAAAGGAAGGCAGAGGCAGAAAACTGAAAGGTAACTGGTGCCACTGAATCGGAATTTTACACACACACACACAAAGAATACAGCTGAAGGTTAAAACCACAAAATTCACAACTCTCAGATTCAAAAAGGTCCTGTCATATCCCTGGAGGATGAGCGCTGACACAGTATCACTATGACTACCAGACTCTCACACTCCTTCCTAGACATCCTGCTAACAAAACGTTTCAACTGTAGCAGATCGCCTGAGTAAGACAAAATAAGCAGCCAGAATAAGACAAAAAAAAAAATTAAATAAGGAAATCAAATCAGTACCTAAGCAACTGAGATACTGACTTCAATACTCCTGGAAACAGCAATGCTGCACCCAAGACAGTAAGTCCAGTGTGCACCTGTATACATTATCTATACACACTACACCCTTTATGTTAGCAAAAATACAAGGAGCCAAGCATTTTCTGTTAGGCAACCAAACTCTGAGAAATGATAAAATGTAGACAAACTAACTGAAAAACTGAGAGAAAACAAAGGAAAAGAAGATACCAGAACTAAACCTCCAGCCAAGTAAAATATAGGTTAGAAGACAGACTATGAAGTTGGCCAGTTGAATGCTATAATAATACAGCTTGGCTCCTTTCATCTACTACAATCTTTCCTGCTTCACTTACAGAAAAATGGAAAGTTACAATCTCAACCCCAATGTCAACAGGACTGATTTAACTACAGATAATGATACCATTGTAAAATAATTCCATTATAATTCAGAAAAAAAAAAATGGGGGCTTTTTTTAACTGTTTCTTTAAAGCAAATACTAGCACACAGCTATGCTTGCTATGCTGCCCAAGACAACAGGTTGGACTTATATAAAAAAAGCTGTATCTGTCCTTGCAAGTATGTTCTACAAAATGACCCAAGACAGAACAGCTCTGGGTGCCTGCCCATAGTATGTTCTGTGATTTTTACTATTAAAGTAGTGATTCAGTTTACATACAAAAAAAATAGTGAGTATATTTCACAGAGTATTTATATTGCATGGCAGTGGATGTTTTCTTAACGAGCACTGCAAATGTTCTCTTGCAGCAACGTTTCAGTTCTGCATATCCTTGTGGATAGCACACACCTGAAATTTGTCAATAGAGGTAATAGTGTTCCATGCAAGTGTTTATGTAGCTGAAGAAAAAAAGGCACGTTTTTCAAAGAGATGAACTTACACTTGAACTCTTCAAAATTGTCCAAGAAATGAAGTCTAAAATAGTTTAAAGGTATTTCATACAACATCTAAATTCACAAATAGGGAGTTAAACAGGCAACTGTAAGCTAAAGCTGATACAATAAAAAACAGGATTGAGTTTCTTCATAAATTGTTTCAGAACGTCTGTATGGGCTTTACATAATACACTCATCACCAAGGTGGCAATCTAAGAAAATTTAGAATTTCCCCCCCAAACTTAAAAGACCTGAAATGTAAATAATTTATATGAAACAGTAATGAACTTGCTGTAAAGACCTGAAATGTAAATAATTTATATGCAACAGTAATGAACTTGCTGTAGCAGATACATAAATAGCAGAGCTTATGTTTAATCAGTAGGTGTTAAGACAGTATACAGTCATTTCTCTCCAAAAAATTAAAAAAAAAAGAAAGAGAAAAACTTGGAAAAAAAAAGATTCAAAAGGTGGCTGCTATTTTGCCACATAACAGCTTTCAAGAGAATACAATCAACTGGAGGGAAACACAAAAAGGGTAAGGATCAAATTAGTAGCTATGTTAAACACCATTAAGTTCTCCTTTAAATACGGATTTATAAGTCTCAGACCACAAACGCAACCAATTTTGTTGTATGTGCCCTACACAGGCTTTATGTATAACAGTGTGCTAATATATTAAAACATTTCAGTTTTATGGAGAAGTTCATACAGATAAACTACAGTTCAGACGCCAGATAGCTGCAGCTAAATCATTTTAACACCTCCAAAATTCAGTTAAGCTTCAGCTAAAGAAACAAATCCAAAGAAACCTACACATACATGCATGCAAACACTTCCCCTCCCCCATAAAATCCAACTTTATGTCTCAGATAATAGGCTCCTTATCTTTAATGTTGCAGAACTAACTTATTACTTAAAGAATTCCCTTGCTTCCAGACTTCAGCGTCATCCACACAGCACAGCTAATAGTAACTGTATTCTTAGAAAACTCATTCACAGTTGCTTGAAATCATTATATGACTTTAGAAAGTAAAATGTATAACCTCTTACCTGAGCATGAAAATTTGACATAGTCGTTGTCTCTATATCTTTCTTTCCCAAAATCTCCATTTTCACTGGTGAATTGGGAAAATTAAACGAAAAGTAGTCTAAAAAGTCAGGTAAGTAAGTAGCTGCCCCATGAACAATACCCATTACATAGTAAGCTGCACAGTTTTCATTTTCACTAAAAACCAGACCCACAAACTCTTCTGCAAATCTCTCCATCTCCACAGGAGATAAGTGGGAGAGTTCATTACTGTAGGCATGGATAACTGATGCACCTCCGTTAGGCTGGTGCTCAATATGAATCAGCTGTTTGAACTCCAATGTGTCCAACCTTTTGAGTTTATTTTGAACCCGTGGCTCCTTTAACGAGACAAATGGAAACTCACTGTTCTCTGGTATCTTGGACTCACAGTCCTTCTTGGGGTCCATATTTTTCCCATTGAAATCCTTAAGATGATCATCTATGATGCCTTTGGCTTCCTGATCCTCAATATCAGAAACCAATCCTGAGCAGATGGTCTGAATGGATTTGCTGTACATTTTTGGACGCTTCCTCTTCTCATTCTCTTTATGTTTCTTTTTCTTTTTCTTCTTCACTTTTTTAATCTGTAGCTCTTCTGCATTGGTTTTTGGTTTCTCCTTCCCACCTGTTAAGAGCAGAAAAAGATATCTTAAGTATCTTCACATGCAAAATACGTATTTAAAGATCAGGAGTCGAAGTTACCAAAACCCTCACTGTGGCACACAAAGACCAGAGTCCAATACCGAGGGTCACAACATGTATCTTACTGAAAACGAGTAGCGAGACACACCTGCCATGTTCACATTATGACTGAAAAATGCTGGGGGGCAGGGGGCAGAACTCACAAAAAAACCAAGTTTCCCAAGGCTGCTTTCACAATGAGTCACAATCCTTAATCATACCCTTTAACTGGTCATCAGCAATTACCATACCAGGAAGTTCAGAGACATTATATGACAGCTGTCAACAAACGTTGCCGAACAAGGGGGTTGCAGTCAATGAATACCAACCAGCATCAGCAAGCTGTTCACAAGATACCACTGCCAGAACCTACCTTGTCAGATGGCTTTACATGGTCACTCTTCCTGACCCCATACTTCTTAAAAAAAGATAACCACAAAAACCAAACAAAAAACACTAAGAAAATAACTACCAAAAACCAAAACCTCATGAAACAGAAGCTAGCTTCAAGTTTATATAATATGCAAACTAGATTGAAAACAAATTGTAATGGCCTAAAGCCAAAAATACTCACTTGGGGCTAATGTGTTCAAGTGGTTCCCAAGGTAAAAACATTCACCCTTCTTTTAAAGTGTTTTTCTTCAAGTGATTTTGGGGGTGGTTTTGCAAGTAATAAACATGGTAGCCAAAAAAAAACTTCTGTCACTACACTGCCCTAAAGTCTAGCAGCTGAAATCATTTCACAATTTGATAAATCAAGTTACCAGGCATGTTACAGCACAAAATTATATCCACGACAAGTGATTCAAGATCAGCAGGTTCAGACACAGAAGTTGAGTCTTGCAATTAAATATGCAATTACTAAGTAATCTCAAAATTCACAACAGTAAAGTTACCCCGTCTCTACTATTGTGCTAAACTATTTTTGGCTTGCAATCCGCCCAAGTAATTCACAAGTCCTAAAAAAAAAAAAAAAAACACCAACAACAAAAAAAAAAACCCAAGAAAAAAAAGATAAGAGATTGCAACTGTTGGTGCTTGGAATCACATAAACTTGCTGATAATTAAGAGGTTTGGATATGAAAGGTACAGATAGTGGAAAGGAGAACAAGCAATTAAGACACTTGCTTCAGTCTCTTGAGGTTTGTGACAGCAGCTACATACCCCTGGGATTTCTGAAGTGGAGGCAAGCGAACTAGTTATTTCTCTAGCTTCTATTTTCTCCTCTTGTAGGGGGGAAGAAGTGCCCTGAGGTCACTCAAGATCAGCATCTATACATCCTTGCTGAACATCCAGGTATTAGATTCCATAATTACTAGTTGAAACATACTTACACAAAAGATGGGTATAAATCTGTATCTGTGCAAAACTACCTAAAAAACTGTTGACTTCCATTTCTACAGTATGAGAAGGAAGATTATCTGACTTCCCCTTTCAATCTGTCCCATTCCCTGCCTTTGATTACCTCTGCTGGTAAGTTTTACTGAACAACAATCAATTTCACTTGACTACTCCCATAATATGCGGTGGCTGTTTTTTTAAATTCATCACTTAATGTATTTTCATAGATGCAGCTACGCAAAAAAAAAAAAAAAAAAGCCCCAAACAAAAAAAAGCCACCCACCCAAACCAAACCACTTCTAAGATTACAGAACTACTAAACTACAAAACAGACTTCCTAGAGGTGGACGATGCCCCAGGCCTGTCAGTGTTTAAGAGGCATTTGGACAATGCTTTACCTTTTGGTCAGCCCTAAAGTGGTCAGGCAGCTGGACTAGATAATCATTGTAGGTCCCTTCCAACTGAAATATTCTATTCTAATCATCAGTAAACAGCACTTAAAAGAGCAAAGCCATGGTCTCAAAAGCAGTGTTGCTTTTAAGACAGAAAGAACAAGAAAAAACCCACCAATGACATAACACAATTAAAATCACATAGGCAGAATATAAATCAGTGTCAAATTATGCAAAGTTCACCTAAATATATCCCAAAAGGCTTGCACTCAAAACCAGTTGTAAAAAAAAAAAAAAAAAAAATGTTTTAGTGAAGTTGTTACACACCTACGTAAGTACTCAAAACCTTATTAAGACATTTGTGAAGTGAAGAACATTTATCATTCCCTGTGTTTGTTTTCACACAGTTTCCATGAAATCTTCAGAAGGGAATAAAGCTCTTAACAGGATAAAAATAGTTGTTCTTCTGGTATACAATGCAGTCCTTCCAGCTTGAAAAGAAATTTTCTGTTCAGCTTTAACTACAAATACTTTAATAATGTAGGCTGGTTTTACTTTTGATCACAGACTACAAGGGTTATGCCATTTACACATATATCAAGTATTAAAGTTCATCAGTACACGCTTTCCCAAATCACAAGAAGTTGCAAAAATGGTGCACACGATTTGGAACCAAATAAATATTTGCTTGCAGTCTCTTCTCAGAAAACAACTCTCTTCCACAGAACTTTCTGGATCTCTATATGCCAAAAAGGATAGAACTGAGGCCATTTTTAATTCTGAAACACCTGGAAAGCAAGAGAGCAACAATCGCACAAGGAACAGAAGGCTGTATAACAAACACCACAAGATCTAAAATGGGAGGTAGCAGAGACCCCTGAGCTGCTACTTGCAACTGGAAAAAGAGACAGAAAAAACAAAATGGGGAGTGTCCATCCTTGAGAAACAAAATATGAATCCCTTCAAGGGCCTGAGCTCCTGAAGCCACTGGAGAGGGAAAAAGCCTTGAAACACAGAAGTCAAAGAGAAAGGGCATTCTAAATGGGGTCTTTTCAAAACATTACTAGATTTAGAGACAACAAAAAACATTACATACCAACAAGAGTAAAACTTAGTTCTCTAAAGGCACTTCAACCAGAAACTGGAAGAAAACATGACTTCAAAAACTGATGAGTTGCTTTGAACCTTTCTCAAATTCACACAAGCTTATGCTACTGCATACACAAGATAAATTCTGTCAAGAACTCTACTTCGTTTTCATACTGGCAGCAAATGACATACTTAAGAAAAATTATTTTTAGATATTTCAGACATATTTTGTAAAGAAAATTGTATTTATAATATTAAACTGGATACTGAAAGACTGAAAAAAACATTAAATTCATAATTATTTGTTTGACCTTCACATGTGGATCTATGATACAGCTGAGCAATTTAAGATCTCATTGCCACAAATGGGTAAAGTCCAACTCCCCGCTCTGTCACTGCTCCTGGCACACAGTTCTGCATTATTCCTGGTTCTGACTGATGCTCATCTGATTGCACAGTAAATTGACTCAACTTAATGGCTCAGCAGAAAACTATTCACTTTGCTGCTAGATTAGCAAACAAAATTGGTTCACGGCATTGTCAGACAGGAACTAGAGCATGGAGACCACCGACAGCAGGCAATGAGGAGCAGCAGAGCAGCAGAACCCACCCCACGCCAGTGGCAGGCAAACCACTTTATCTGGTTAGCTACATTGCCCACCACACCTTCGTCTGTCCACCCCAAGCACCAAACAAGGCTGAAATTATAAGGATAAAAAAAAGAAATCTAATCAGAAAGTTTCCTAACCCAAAAGCTTGAACTTTTAGACTTTAATATTAAAGTTATATAATTTCTCAGCTTGTTTTTTAAAGGTAACATTCTAGTACGTTTAACTGTATTATGGATCAGACTACAATTTCTTCCCTCCTTCCCTCTGTACTTTATTACAGCACCACCCACACTCACTGTACCGTGCCTGTTCCCAACACCTCTCTGACATCAACATATGCCCAACTTTAGAGTATTTGTGTTCAATTATTTTAGCATACAGCCAAAGTTTTCCTGAAGAATACAAACACAAAATGGAAAACTGATTTCTACAAGTAATATTTCTCAGCAAAGCTTGAATAGAATTTCACAGAAAGAAGAGGTGGCGGCAGATTTCTAGCCTAAGGCTTCTGCTCTGCTGAATTTCAAAGATCCACTCTGAAGTAGGTGTTTAAAGCTGCACAGAAGTTGCAAAGACTTCAATAGCAAAAGGAATTAATTTGCTGAAATACTAGGATTGCTATCAGCAATGCCCAATAAAATACTTTCATCTTATTCTTCTTTTGCATTAGCTGTAGAGAGGAGCAGAAACACACTCATTTAGTCACTCCTCTGCTGCATATATCAAAATACTTTAAAGCAAAACGTGCTGCTTCTTCCAAAACCAGTAACACTGCTTTGACACTTGGCTAACAGACACCAAACATGAACAGGCTGCCTTCCCTGTCCCCCTAGGGCAGTAAGCACATTGCCTCACAGCAGACATACAGAATTTGGTGAAAACATAAGCAAGCAATCCAAAAGGCTAAATAAAGATCCAAACACTGCAAGACTGAGATACCCAAACTAGCTTTGTTTTAAGCAAGATTTGGCAGCAGCAGTGCTTGATGCAAGCTAACTTATTTCACTTCTCAATAGTTACTCAATAGTTACTATTGAGGTACACACTCACAACCCAAAACCTTCAACACAGGTGTTCCAGAGAGTCTTCACCAGCAAGCAGTGTTTCTCAGCTTTGAGGTCACAGGCCCCACAAATATTGGGGGGGGGGGGGGGGAACACTTTAAAAGTTAAAAAAATACCCCCACATTAATAACAATGCTAAATTGTTCTTTTCCCACAGTTTTCTAGCTGACTGCTAGTAGCAGGAAGGGACAAATAGTTTTAACTGCAGCCAGTAATTAAAGTCCATTTCACTTCCCCACTTTAGAACTCAGTCACCAAAATTTAATAGAGCTGAGGAACACCTGGTGGGGGGGAGGGTAAGAGCACAGAGGAAAAAACATCAACACAGAGAAGCCTAAATAGGGACCACACTTCCTAGATATTTCAGCTGAACTGAAGGACTGGAACACAGCATCTTATTCCTCATTTATGCACACAAAAAGTCACAGCAGCATCACCCAGCTGCAG